AATGAAAGAATCCTACTGGCTATGGAGGTGGCATCGTTTTGAGAAATAGAATTGTCGTTCCAAACTTCGTCAAGTAATTTTACAGCACGTTCTGTGGATTGATCGTCATTCTGAAAGAATCGATAAAGAAGTCGTCGAAAGATTGCACTGAACTTATACGAACTTTAAGATGTTCCTTGACTTTATCGAGATTAGTAAATGATGCCAATTTCGGTTCGGTAGTTGCTTGTGAACCGAAACTGAATGGTGAACATACATTAACATTTGCCAATAAACTTGATAGACCACTAACAGATTCGGGTTGAGCGGGCGTTGTTTTGTTGGAGCCAAATTGAAAATTGTTCCATGCCGGTGGTTGATTGGCATTTTGGCCAAAAAAGAAGGATGGAGATTCCACATCTTCTTCGTTGTCCTCTTCACCTTCGTCATCTTCGTAATCTTCATAGTCTTCTTCGTTTTCATCGTCGTCATCCTCATAGTTCTCATCACCGTCACCTTCGCCTTCTTCGTCACTTCCTTCGTCATCGCTGTAAGAACATCAAAATCGAAGAAACTCTTCGCCATAAGCTCGTTCACTTACTCGAAAACCATTTGATTCACAAAGCTCGTGTTTTCAAGCGCATTACGAATTTCATCGATTCCGTCCGGACCAAAACAATTACCTACAATAAATTGCATTTTCCTTCACAAGAACACATTTCTCAAATTTACAAACCATTCAAATCTAGAACTCGCAGCGATGGCATATTCTTCACGGCATGTGCTATTTCCATGGCACCTTCGGTATTCATATCATTGCATCCGAGATACAATTCCTAAAAAGTTCAGCTCACATCAGCGATCTCGATCAACGCATGTCTTTACCTTCAGATTTTTGTGTGAAAATATCGCCCGAGCAATAGCATTTGCACCTTGTGTACGAATCAACGACGATTCCAGATTAATGATTTCCAATTTGGGCAGCTTTTCAATAGCTGATGCTAATTTAGGAGCAGCCAGCGTGATTGTATTGTCATTTAAATCAATAACACGTAAATTCTGATTACTGACAAATGCGCTTGTCAACGCTTCGATGCCGGGTGGACGAATGCCATTCTGTGGCATACGAATGACTTCCAATGTGCCTATTAGCTATGTATAAGAAAAGCAAAACATGGGTGAAAATCGCTCTCGAGAAGGAATTTTACTTCGAAAGCTTTTGACAACGCTTGTGCACCTTCGTTCTCCAATCGATTTCGGCCGGCAACAAACTGCTTCAAAGCAAGTTTACCTCCGCTATTCTGATGAAGAGCAATCAAAGCTTCTGCTAGCAACTAAAATAACAATTCGACTTCGTTTTTCAATCAAACGAGGAAAACATCTTCTCAACAAACTTTTCCACCACCAATACCCATACCACAATTGTTCAAACGAAGTTCTTCTAATGTGTAGCATGCCGATGATGAGAGAAATGTTTTAAGTCCTTCGACTCCAATTGGACCAAATGCATTGTCGCTTAAATTGATTTCAACGATATGACAACCATTTGTAATTAAACCCTGAGTTAACTTAATCTATAAAATAGAATACGATCAGTAAGTTTTTCGAAATCGAACGGCATAGAAGATAAATCATACCAATGACGGTGGTACTTCAGTTTTTAATCGAGTCGTGAATAAGTCATTCCAGATGAGACGCTAAAAAGAGAAGTTCATTGCAAAACATTAGACGATCAATTCTATTTACTTCGATTTCACTATGTTTTTCTAATGCTTTGCCGATCGCTGTAGCTGCATCTTCATTGATTGTGTTTCCTTCAAGACGTAAAGCCACTAATTGCTGACATTTCTCAATTTCATCACATAATTCTTTGACTGAAAGCAGAAGAAGATTCACTAAATGTGCAAGATCAAGAAAATGAAAGCAATAAAACTACCATCATATGCATTGTTTCCTTTTAAACCCCGATTAGCCCATGATAATTCATGTTCGGTTGATTTCAAACTTTTAGACAGATTATCGGTCATAATTGTACGTTGATGAAATGGATTGAAACTAGAATACTCAGACGATTTTTCGTATAATAAACGTAATTTCTTTGTTTTTTATTATTGCATCTCAACTCCAATAGAAACACGTTTTCTTGTACGATAGATGTCTCCCAGTGACAGTGCGAGATATATTTTTCAACGCGTGGATTTCTGAACGTATTACTGCAGTCTACAAACGACCGACAGATTTAACACGATCACCATCATAAACAGAGTTCTTTCTCTTTGTCGAATGTTAACATATGACTATTTTAAGATTGAACGCAGCGTACTTCTCGCATGAGATTACAATATAGAATAATACTTCGTGCGCGTTCTTTCATTCATTATTATACTGTTCCCTTTTAATCCTCATCATTTCGTAACTCCTACATGAATAATTTTACACCAGACGTCAAAGGAACGTTCGTTCGTCTGACTAATTTTGTTTGCCTAAGGGCAAATTTATTTTGAGTCATTAGTAGATGCCTCTCGAATAAACGAAACAAACGCTGAATTGCAAAGAGAAAAATCCACGACGTGTACACGATCCATAAATTATTTGTGTTCGTAAAAGAAAAAAAATAGAAAGTGTAGTGTTTCTCGTCGTTTATTTACGACGAAGAAAAAAGGGTGATTAAAGGAGGGTTGGAGAGCATAATGGAGATGAGGGCAAAGGAAAAAAAAGAGAACAGGAACATCAGGGTAAAGCAGAGAAAGTTTTCATCATATATATAGAAATTCCATCGTAAGAAAATCTTTGTCTTAGATTCAGAATAGGTGTATGTTTTCGATGTTTGCCTTTTCGCGGTGAAAGAGCTAAATATACTAGACTTATTTTGCACTCCTATTTGCGTTCTACTTTTTCAGCGATACTCTTATCGACGATTCTAGGTCATTATGACGATGGGGAAACAAAAGATTTCGATTATTCGTCATGGAAGTTAAAGGTACAGATAAAAGTCGTCGATAACGATGCCTCGAACTCGCTATCTACAAAAATAACTATATAGAAAGAAAATTCGTTCGTTTAACTTAGAAGAAGTAAATTTTCATCAGCTAGGTTGGGATAAATATCTTATTTTAAGATTTATTATCGGTTTTCGACGAGCAGTCATGATGAGAAAGGCTCGAGAAAGTTGTTTTTTTTTTCTATTATCTAGATAAAATATCATGGTGCGATAGATGCCCTTATACTTATCAGAGATTGTATTCGATATACTACAAATAGAATATAAAACTCGATGTTTCTGAGCAGAACTAGTATTTTCCTCTATCAAAATATTTGAAAAATGTTATCTTTCGAGTTGATTTTTGTTATGTATATAAAGCGTGGTGGTCTTCATTTTCTTAATATCAATCTATTTTAGATTGTAGACAAGAGTCGGTTTATAGCATAATATAACAATGGTGTACATCATCGACGAAGACAAGACGTCGAGCACATCTATGCCGTATGTTCCAACACCATTAGATTTGCCGACTCCAGTTATTGAACGTAAAACAACACCGATAACTGAACAAATGGCAAGTAGATTTCAAGCATCCAAAGAAGAAGAGGAAGATTTTATCAAGAATAATTACGTTGCACGAACGTTATTGAATGAACCTCAACTACCACCTGTGACCTGGTCAAACTGGTATAAACATGTCAACTGGCCTCAAGCAACCTTATTATGTCTTGAACCTTTCGTCGCACTCTACGGTCTATTCACAACAGCATTTATGTGGCAGACGGTCGTTTTTACAATCATCTGGTACTTTCTGACTGGTTTTGGTATTACAGCTGGTTATCATCGTTTATTTGCTCATCGTTCATACGAAGCTAAAACACCATTGAAATATTTATTGTTGGTTTTAGCTGCAGGCTCAGTTCAAGGTTCTGCTCAATGGTGGGCACGTGGTCACCGAGCCCATCATCGTTATACTGATACGGATCTCGATCCATACAGCGCACACAAAGGCATTTTTTATTCTCACATTGGTTGGTTAATCTTCAAACCACGTCGAAAACCAGGCGTAGCTGATATAACTGATCTTTCACGTGATAAGACTGTTCAATGGCAACATCATCATTATTTGACATTGGCTTTCTTCATGGCATTTGTTTTTCCCACTCTTCTTTGCGGTCTCCTTTGGGGCGATTATCGTGGTGGTTACTTTTTTGCCGGTGTTCTCCGTCTCGTATTCGTTCATCATTCAACTTTCTGTGTTAATTCATTAGCACATTATCTAGGTGATGCACCATTCGATGACCGACACACACCTCGTGACCACTTTATAACCGCTCTTGTCACACTTGGCGAAGGCTATCACAACTTTCATCATGAATTTCCATCCGATTACCGCAACGCACTCAAATGGTTCCAGTACGATCCAACAAAAAATCTTATTCAATTCTTCAAAAGGATTGGACTTGCTAGTAATCTTAAAGAATTCCCTCAAAATGAAATTCAAAAAGGTCGTTACACAATGGTACGTAAAGCACTAAATCAATTTGGACGAACTATCACTTGGCCAAAAGGCGATGAAGAATTACCGTTGATTTCTTATGAAGAATATCAAGATTTAGCAAAAAAGGACGATGGTCGTGTACTAGTCTTAATCGCCGGCTTTATTCACGATGTTAGCAATTTTATTGATTCACATCCCGGTGGTCGAGCGTTGATTCGAAGCTACGTTGGCAAGGATGCGACTGTTGCATTCTACGGTGGTGTACATGATCACAATACTGCAGCACACAATATGCTAGCGATGATGCGAGTTGCTGTTTGTAGATATGGTGGTGAAGTGGAACATCTGAAGAGAAGATTAGGACATATCCAAACGCCGACTCCTATTTTTGCCTAGTTGTTCGTTTGCTTTTGTTATTGTAGAGAATTTCCGTTCTATTATCTAGATCTTGATCAAAGATTATAAAAATAAATTAAGATGATCCTAATGCTTAGTCGTATTTATTATAAATATAAATCACAGATAGAGTACGAGTCTTTATAATCTTGTACTGATGATATTATCATCATCGTCATCATCATCATTGTCGCCGTCGTCGTAAACACCATCACGTTGAATATCTACATGAACAAATAGAGTTGAATAAGTTTGATCGCAATTATTCGCTCGTAGATGAATATGTCGATAGCCTAGAAGAAAACAAAACATTTTATACTCTTCTCCGGAACAGTTAGCGATCAATAACCTGTTTGAAGCATTGTAATCGGTGAACAGAAATATGCCAATCGATCATTGTTCGTGATCACATCATAGTCCATAACACAAAAGTAGATGAGGCACATTTGAGGAAATTTGATGCGAAAACGAAACATTTCATTCCAAATTGGATCAAATCCATTATTATTGATAACTTTTGTTCTTAATACATGTTCATCACAACGCATACCGTGTGTTGATAAGCGAACAAATGGATCAGGTATATCAGATGATTTCAAATTTGATCGAGGTAGAAATTGCCCACTAATGATTGTTATCGTTACAGTTTGAGAATGATCGAAATTCATTCCGATATCCCATGGATTGAATTGTGTGTCTTCGGCATGACGCAAATAGTCCGGTTTTAAGATATAACCGCAACCACCATTATCAAGAAATTTACCGTGACAAAGTGCGGTCATATCATCATCGTTTTGATAGTTTAAAGCAACCATTTGAACACCGAAGTTCCATGCTATGATTGGATCAGGATTACTTGAATCTTGTCTTAAACCACCTGGATATAACCGAAGAAGACGCCAAGTTGTCTGCTGAACTAGACCAATGGGATCGCTCTGTGCAAATTTGTAGAAACGATTTTCTGCTAATGACGATGATTGAAACGATGAATCTTTAAAAACAAAAATTTTCACAACATGTTCATGTCAGTATATTCAGAGCTTACAATTCGCTCTGGCATAATCATATTCACGAAACGGGACATTTTGCAAATATACAAATAATGCAGCTAAGTCAGGTTGAACATCCTACATTAGTCGTCGATATGTAAGCATGACAGAAATTTTGAATTAGTGTATAAATATATACTTTGCTCAATGGATTCAGTAATGTGTCATTATCGTCGTCGTCATCATCATCATCTTGACGTTTTACTACTGATGATAGTTTCTTACTCTGAATAAGGATGCATAGGAAAAATCAACTTCTTACGAATGTCTACGAACTCGAATAAGAACTTTATGTTTCAAATCTTCTGGTGATGGCAGAACCGATGGATTTTTGCTAGGCAATGGTTTGGTGATCAAACGATCTAAATTTTTGAGAAAAAACAGGATACCAGCGATGTATAATGAGTTTCTACTCACCACCGAGAATTCTTTTCAAAATCAATGCCATTTTCTTTTGTTGTTCTAACGAGCAATGATTTTCAATATTTAAAATAACTGGATATCTAAATTTCGAAAGTGGAATGGCACACGAAGAGTATACTCAAGATTTACGGTGAGGCTTTGAAGAGGTTCGGCTCGATTGAACGAATGATTGATTCAAATGAACATGGCTTCACTAATGTATGAGCATGCTTGACAATTGGACTACCATTACCACCATCGTAGCAATCAAGTTCAACTGCCCGGCAACCCATAAGTAAAACGCGATTATAAGCTTCTGGATTACTGTCACCCGATATTTGACTGTAAAACAAGTAACTAGAGTACAAAACAAGCAAGAATCGAAGAAATTGAACATGGGATTTTCATACGTATTATGCGAAGTGTTGATATAGTAATCGCATAACGGTCTAAAATATTGAAATATATATTCATCATTATCAGTCGATATGAATTTTCACTTGACAGACTATACCTTGTCATATCTTGATATATATGACGAGTGTGAAATGGACTAACGATGTCAAAGTATTCAGATAATAACATATTACGAAAACCTTCGAGAGCAGGGAAAATGCTTCCGTTGTCTTGTTATAGAAAGTCAACTTACCATCGGTGCCTAATAAGTTTTTGTCTCGTAATTCTTTATTCAACTCAAATTCACGAATTAACTGTTGCACTTCTTCGAGACTGATCAACCTCATCGTCTGTTTATAGTGTAATCGTAGGAAGGATAGTAGTTGATTAGCATTGATGAAAACAGTTTCCATCGGTTGCGTGTAGTTAAGATTGGCATGTCTAAAAACAAAGTACGAAAAAGATTTTGCCAAGAAACTCATAGATTTACTTTTTTAGAATAGCACAGATATCTTTTCGGCAAGTTAATAACTGGAAAAAATTGATGAATTCATCTGAATTTAAAAGTCCTTCCTTCGATTTATCGGCTTTCTAGAAAGAAAGAGATTTTGCAACAAAATTCGTCAGTAAAACAAAGTTTTACATTAAACATTTGTTCGAATATATGCTGTGGCAGTTCAACATTGAATTTATTGGCAAGTAATTCTCGACATTCATTTTTACTCAATGTATTTGATCGATTCTTATCCGCAGCATGAAAGAAATCTAAAATCCATCTAAAAAAGAAACATTGATAAAAACTCGTTTCCATCTTTATCTCTTACTTTTTCTCTTGAATCAAATGATATTGAGTCTTCTGCGCATGTCGATCCATTAGATGTCGCAGACCTTGAATCCATAACTCACGTGTACTGAAATCAGGTGCAATTAGATGTTCTTCTTTTCGATGATTGTCGTACATTATTGTAAAAACGCGTTGATCCTAGACGTGAGATGTTTATAAAAGAGAAGATTGCAACAACAAATGAAATTATACATCCATATCATTGATAACACGTTTTTCGAGCAAATGATCGAATCTCGGTCCACGGATGCCTGGTCGAACTTCATCGATGTCTTTGACATGATCTGAACTCGATCGGGAAATATTTTTCTTGAAAATTTAGTTGAATAAACTTACAAATCCTCGGTTTACCAAACAATTTGTGTGATTTCTCGTAGGAAATGTAACCTTCACGTTCATGAAGATAAAATTGCCGCGAGAATTTCTTCCCGTTGAACTTTTGTTTGATAAAATTCGAGCCAGATTTCAGCTGATTTAACACATCGACGAACTGAGTTACATCATTACTCATATTTTTTTTATCGAAAACGAAACGAAAAAAACAACAACAGAAGAATATCACAGATAAGTGCAAACCTAGGATTTTGTCAATAATGTTGTTATATGATTACCATATAACATTTACTAAATCCTTAAAATATCTTACTCTATTCTCATATGCGGCGTAGCCAACCGGTTGTGATAGCAAACGAAATCTACGTACGTATATGATCCCAAATCAGTCCCCAAATATCAATTTGATTCAAAAGTAAAGATTATACAAAGATTTTCTTCGGATATTCAAACTAGAAAAAACGCTTGTAAATCTTTTCACTGTTCTGATTTGCATTTACATGCGAGCGTGTCAGCACGTGTAGAAAAAAAAGCAGTCGAAATTAATTCTATCGATTTTTTTTATGTTGTTTTTCTTCGGCGACGAGAAATCGTAACGAAAACTTCAAACATTCTACATTTATCCTACAAATTTCGATCGTCGATAATTTTGTCCTCGCTTGTATCGAATGGAACTTGATTTAATTTTCGTCATCAGTCGCCGAAAATTGCTTGCAGAATCTCAATCTCCTTCAATCATCGTTTCTTTGGAATATAAGTAGTAATGACTGTTCTCTTCATGTGAGTTATTTGTTTTATAAATGGAAATGTAATCATGTCACTTTGCAATCTACGATTTATTTTTGTTTTTTTTTCTTCTCATGCGCATGATGCCTTGATTCCATTCTCGCATACGAATTAACACTCTTCATCAATTGCCTTCATATATATTACACGCTTCAAACCAAAAAAAGACTGTAGCACAGTTTTGAATTTCGCTGATATGTCACTCTGACAAGTAACTAGTAACAATGGACATGTTCAGGTCTAGAATAATTTTCTTTTGATACTGATTACATCTCGTACATCACAAATATATTTAAAAAAAAACACAGAAGCGAATGGGCGTCAAACGCATCGATCAGGTATGCGAAAGAATGTGTGTGGCAAAGGTGTGCAATGTTGAGAATCGAAATTGACTAAATATTGATCAATCAGATATACAGCAAAGCGTTGGCGTTCGATCAGAGAGAAAGTTTCGCCTAAAATCGAGATTTATCGAAATATTGAACACAAATAGAAAAGAATTCTTACCGAATTTGCAGGGATATGCTGCTTTTGGATGTTCCATTCGATATTCTCTCGTCAATGCTTGTAAATCAGTTTCATTCGAGCAGTATTGATCGTATAGAGCTATTCTTTGCGCTTGATTGGCACAGACATATCGTCTCAAAAGTGTTAATGTTTGATCATCATTGTAAATATGTGGATAACGGTATTGAAGAACTTGAAATAACAATTCATTGCCTCGATTGGTTTCGACTCGACCTGGTACAAGACTGATAATTTCATCCTGTGTACGTCGTATAAGATAGAATGGTCCATTGAATAACTTCAGCAATTGCACATTATTCAGATCGAGATAATAACGTATTGTTTTCTCAACGAATTTCGATGCAAATGCTGGCATTTGACGTTGTGCTAATGGAAGAACATCATCGAAAACAGCATCTAAAACTAATCCGCGAATATCTTGATAACTGACAGCTGTCCAACAAGCCGAATAACCGCCGATCGACCATGCAAATATAACAATATCATCAACAAGAAAATGAAGTTCTTCAATTGCATAACGCATCACTGCATCGATAGAATTGATTTCTGACAATGCGCCAGGATAACCCTGCAGAAATCAATGCACCACAAATCTAATAACAACAATTCATCATCAATCTTACCGAACTTTCTCCAAATCCTGGTCGATTCCATCCGAGCACGGAATATCCACGATCAATGGGTGTTCCCATACAACCCATTTCATAGAATCCGGCATTTCCTTCGCAAGTGACTACTAACGTTCGTCCATTATTGGTCTGATTTGATTGTCGTCGATCGACGAATATCGTATCGATGTTATTTCCGTCAGCTGTACGTATAACATATCGTTTGGCGCGATGTTGAACAATTAGATTTGTGCGTCCGTCAAGTAAAGGACGTTCCATCATTTGTCGAAGTAATTGTAAACTACCTGGAAACATTAGACGACGACCGAATACATTCACACAGATATAGCCGAGAAATAATGTTGGATAATGAAAGATCCGTTCGAGAAGGGTTGGTTCAGTACGATTGAGAAGTTCATCTTTAGTTATGGATATCATCGGTATTTTTCGTACAGCAGATGCGTCAATAACATAGTCTGGTTGCCAATGAGAAAGAGAAAAGTCAAACTTAGCTAATAAGTGCTAAATACACAAAAACATGTTTTCTTGATTCTCTAAGTTTTATGGAGAAGACATTTACTTGACGGGCGTCTTTGGATGTATTCGTTTTCGTCCGATAGAATTCATCGATAAAAAGTTTATAATTTGGATTAACATAACGACCAATACCTAATAAAACGTGAAATGTATCTAGACAATAAGCTTCTATTGAACATACCACGTAACAGCATAAAATAAGCTGAAATAATGGCGACACAACCTGCAAGTCGCAATGTGATGATCCCATTATCGTATGTTAAAAAACCTTTACGATAAAAGTATATAAGACATATAGGCCATGTTACTTTAAGTATGCCAAAGGATATTTTCAACTAACAAATCGATAAATTATTCACAATGATCTGAAGAACAATCATCTTACTGCAAAAAACACCGTATCGCTGAGACTCTCTGCTGTATTTTTCTCGTAAATGTGTGCTGGCTAGAAGTACAAATAGATGAGACCTTCGTATGAATGAAGACTGAATTCTACTTGTTGATCATTTCGCATCGGAGTCGGTGGTATTGCTGGATATGTTTGGTACAGTTTTGGACCAAAAACACACCGCCATAAAAGAGTTAATTGATTCTTCATTCGTAAACTAATATGAATAATCGATAGCAAACACAACACAAAAGATAAAAATGAAGTGAACGAGCTGGTTGGATTTCTTCCTTGACAGACAGAGCAAGAAAAAAAGGCGATTGGTGCGCTAGACAACTAGTTTTGACGAAGATAGAGTACGCGAGAAATAGATGTCCTAAGAGAACACTTGCTTAGCTGTGACTGAGATTAAGCAGCCGGAAATCTTCTCGTTCATATTATCAAATAAGTAGCTTTTATTGACAATAAAGTATTTGAATTACAATATCGAACAAAAAAATGAACTTATTCGTTTTATCATGTTCGATCTCATTAAAGCACGAAGAACACATCCGAACTAGAATTTTCGATTTACTGAAATGCCAAGTTGCGATGCTGCAAGACTCATACGTCTGATTGTATCCATTTTTTCTTCGAATTCTTCTTCTTCTTGATCCCGTTCTAAACATATTGACGTAATACGATACGTTTGAAAGAGTAGAATCAGGAAGTTCTTAAATGTGAAGAAATACGTTAGAAACGATCGTACACGATAAACAAAAATGGCAACGAGACGAACAGCAAAGAACGGACCGTCCTGCAACGACAATGTTACCAAGATCGACCAAATTTCTGATCGAAGAAACTTTGCTGAGCGTTTCTTGACGAAGATCTTGACACTTTCTGCAATCGACTTTCTCGACATTTGTTTCGAACGTGAAGCATGCCATAAAGACGAATGTAATGAATTGAGAGAACCAATGGATAGGCGAGGATGCATTATCGGACGAGGAATAGTTGAGAGTAGATTGACTTCCGGAAATGTTGGTTTTAGGACTATCAATAATAACAAATTTGATATCGTGTAGGAATGGCAAAGTTAACTTACCTAAACTATTTTTACTTTCTCGCATTTCGAGATTTTCATTGTGAATAGGATTTTCAAAAATTGTAACTGATGGATTCACGATTGAAAACGAGGCTGCACGTGGTTTAACTCGCGGGGTTTGGTTTGCTGATGTTGTCGTCAATGGACGAGCTGTAGACGACGATGGTGTCGTACTTGGCATGAGTTTATTCAGAACCTTTTGATGTATTGGTGTCCGTGGTGGCAATTGATGAATTTCATATTCTGCTTCGTCAAACTCAGCATGAAATGATCGACCACGTGTAGCCGTTAGGTTCAATGCGAATTGAAACATACACAAGGAAAAGACAACAAGAACAATATGAACCATAGGTGAACTTAAATAAATCTCCTTTTCACTGAATAATGTTAATAAATCCAAAATATCCGATGCAAGTGACAAATAAACCAACAGCAATTGTGACAATGCACTATGTGATATATTTCCTTTTGGCAATAACCATCGACCAAGAATGATAATGAACATAAATGACAACTCAACCACCATTGCGTCATCTACGCCCCATTCTTTCATCTAAATCAGACAGAAGAGTTGTTCATACAAATTAGAAATGTACATAATATGCATAAATATTGTATATATATATATCGTTCGATCGAGTTCAAGGTAGTTGGATCATGCGGTATCATGCTAAGATAAACTGAGTTGTTGTTGATTCAGGTAATGGGAGAGGTGATGGCAATCGTTGCGATGATTGTTTATCGAAATCGATTTGTTCATCTTGATCCATGTGTTCAATGCAAATCGACCAGAGACGATAGACTTGTAAGCATAAGATAATTAAATTTTTACAGGTGAAAAATATCGTGGTATAAGATTGCACTTTAAAATGAACAACGGCAATACAACGAATGATAAGAAATGGGAGATCTTGCATAAGAATTGTCAGAAATATCGATGGTAATTCACTGTTTGCAAGCTTTTGACAAATGGAAAGGACTCGATGTGGCGGTCGACGTTTTTGCTGTTTGATAATGTTCAATTGATTGTTGGAAGTCATACTATCGGATTCGTAACGAAACGTTCGGCCGCGTGAGGCAACAAGATTCAGACTAAATTGAAATGTTGACCAAGAGAAGACCGCCAATGTCGAATAGATCATTTCTTGATTCTTAATCACTTTCTCTTCTTGGAATATTGACAAAAGATCGATCATATCTGATGCTAACGAAAGATAAACAAGTAACAGTTGAGAGAGTGCAGATCGGCTAATCTTTCCTTTTGGCAATAGCCATCGTCCGATGATAATTATCATTAGAAACGTCACTTCGATTACCACAACCCAATCGTCAATGGTTAGAGGTTTTTTCTAAAAACATGCCAAGATGGTCCACTGTCTCGTTTCGTGCACATGCGATCGAGCATCGAAAATGCTGGATTTTATATTCAAGAGAAAGAATTCATTTTTTTTCGGCTATTTCTGTGCTCTGTGGAACATCTATATTCGAGTTGAAGACAAAAAGAACATAAACCAACGTTCTGTCATAGACTAAGGAAGAACAGGAGAAGAAAAAGAGCGACGAGTAGAAAAAAAATAACGTTATTCTATAGATCAACACAGCGCCACGTTGCACACGCATGTGCCCTTGACAAGCATGGAAGAGAATGACGATGAGCAAGTTCTACCAGCTAAAGCTACCAATGAAGATATAGCTAAAGTCTTAGGTGATCAAGAATCGGTCGAAGATGAAGAAGGAGCAAATGATGATGTATTCGTTCATTTAAAATCCTCGTCAATCATATCAATTTTGGTCATTGTTATGATCACTCTTGTTTGCATATTAGCAACAGGTTTATTAATCAATACGATTCTTCGAACACATAGCATTACTCGTACATTATCGATGTATTTCGGTTTTAAAACAAATCGTACGATCGACGAAACGATATTAACATTTTGGGAACCGAAAAGTATCTCCAATAAACAACCAATAGAAACAACTACTACGACCACCATCATTAGTTCTTCTTCATCTTCGCGTCCTCCTCAATATATCTTAAGTACTCGAGAAAAAAAAGCTCAAATCATCTTTCGGAATTTTATTCTTCCAGCGCTATTTCTGCTATCTATGCTCTGTGGTATTTTCGCTTTTTATATGCGTCGTCATCATCAGTACTATCCTGCTTGGGGTGCTCGACCACGAATACCTGAACGGTATATCACTCTCGAACTCAGACCTCCGAAAACTGGCGCTCACTAACAAAATTGTTGTATTTTTCCAGTTTGTTATTGTTATGTACTATTGAATATAAAATGGAATATATATATAATCATGCATCATGCAATCGTTGTCTTCTTTCACGTCTCACCTTTTGTAAGACTAAATTCTATAGAATTGAATTCGATTGAGATTTTATGTTTCGAGAGAAGTTTATACGCAGAGAGAAATGTCAAAGAAAATGAAATGAAATAAAACATACCGTTTTATCGTTGATATTTGCTTTGGAGATAAGACCTTTTTCGATTAATAGTTCCAGTTCTCTGCCTTCAGTTTGATTGAATGGTTCACGGCCAAGTTTAACATTGATTCGATTGATTTCGAGAAACCATATCGGAGGAATCATCGTGCAAATGTAAAGAAAAAAGCATGGAGAAAACCTAAACACGAATAACTTCGTTGTTCAATCAATCATCAACGAATATTTACCATTTCGGTTCTTTGCCTAAAACAGACACGAATCAAACATGAAACGCATACTCGAGTTTGAACATACCTTTTCGTTTAAAAATAGTAACAATCAATTCAATAAGAAGAAAATTCACTCCACACATGTTTAACAGATACCAATAATCTCCCTTTGTGATAACTGTTCGCACGATTGCGATCGTTGCATGAAGTGCAAAAATCACTCGAATGATAATCGCTTTTAATATATCGAATGAATGGCATATCCACCGACCGCATTCACGTAGAGTTTCTTCTGTCTTCGACATCCCGTGATACATTGAAATGTCTGAAATGAACAAAGATCAAAGAATAGAACGTTGTCCTCTGATTAAATTCGACAGAATTATATAGCAGAAAAGAAAAGAGATAATTGTCGCTGTAAGGTTCACAATATCTCTAGTCTTGCGGATGGAAACACACACGAATGGCAGTAATGAAAGATTAATAATAATGCTGGAGGACCCCAGTGATCTCTTTTGTCCGTCAAGACGACAAGAGATAGAGATAGAGAGACTAATTACTCAGAATGTCAAACAATATATTAAAAGCGACGTCAACAAAATACTTTAACCAACCTCTATAGTCTGCAAGGCACAACAAGGATCAATTATTATTTTATCGTCAATGGGTGGCTCCCATCGATCGTCAAGGATAGAACGATGCAACTGATGTGCTATATTGACTCAAATAAAAACAGTTCATCAGTAGAATTACTTAGACAAGCGTTGATAGACTTGTTCTTACATAAACGATAGTAACACTTGAAAAAAAAACTGCTGCTATTCTCGCTACTCATAGTCAAGAAATCTCGAAGACTTCTTCTTCAGTTCTATCATTAATATATATACATATCTATGCATTATATTTGATACAATACCAAGAGACAGTTTCGTACGTGATTGACAATCAATTAAGATAACAAACTGACATCATCTTTTTTTTAGATTATACGAAATGACACAAAACAAAGGCAAACAAAATCGAAGAAATTATTTCTCAGAACTACGAGAAAAAGACAAAGACAAATTCAGATATTAAATTGGTGAATGATGTTGATGACCGTAAATAATCGATGATGCTGGTAGATTTTGTTGTTGAATAAGACGTGTTGTTCCTTGTACATGATTCAATGTTGGTACACGATATTTTGAATGATGAGGTAAAGGTGCTGTAGGTGTTGGTATGCGTGGATGATGTGCACGATGATGGTCCTCTGAACGTCGTCGTTGATATTTCACACTATTCACACTTTGTCGACGATCAGATAAGGAGGAACGACGAGCATTTTCGACATTCGATGTTGATTTCGTTTTTGTCACTTGTGGACGACTATGATTCGCTCTATAAAAAGAAGAACAAGGTTATGAATGGATTTTCTAAACGTTGCGGGATGACGTCGATGTTTTACTATTCAAATCCAAATGATTTGTAATTGAATAGAAAACAGACCTTCGCGCATATCTACAACTTCTGTCCATCATGCAAATCCGAGCTTGTCATTCGGGAGTGATGGTGCTTTTCTCAAACACACTGGTCAGAGAACGAGGCGCATGCAACGTGAGGAAGAAAAGAGAAAAATGATCACTCGAGTATGCTTTACTAGGAGAGAGAAACATTGGTCGTTTTTGTACTGAAATGAAATTATAATTTACGTTGTTCGTAGATTCATCGTCGAATGATGTACCTTAATCGTAGACAGAAATTGGTTGCGAAAAGCCAATAGATAAGTGGATTAGCTAAGGAATTCATATAACATAACGACGATGTCACACGTATAAGTACAAAATCTTGAATGAAGCCAAGTGTATTCATTATTGTGAGAATGAAGTAAGGCGACCAACACGCAGTAAAAGCTGAAAATAAGTGAAAAATATCAGTGATCATCTCGAAAAATCAAAGAATAAGACTCTTCATCTAATCGAGTTTGTTTATAACGATGTACTCGAACGATGACTGATGAAGGTTAGACTTGTAAGGTTGACTACAATGTTATGCCAAACTCTATTTAGTATTTCATCAATCAAGACAATGTCGGATATCCTGTCATCAGCCTGTTAGGAAATTTACCAATAACAATGACTAAGGTCATTTTAACGGTTTTGATTTTTGCTCGAGGTATAACGCCAAGTGAGCGAACATCTCGTATGCGCGATTCGATCTGTTGATCACCTAATATGCAGAAAGAAAGATATGAGTCAAAGTAAAGTTCGTGAGCAGGTTTTTCTTTACCGCTTAAAGTTGACTTTTTCGATGAGAAGAATCGACGTAGTCGTGATTTCTCCCTCCGTTCGCTTGTTGATCCATCTTTGATTTTCATCGAACCTTTTCTCCAAATAATTATGATTATAATTACATATGACACTGTCATAACAATCAATGGAACAAGATATAATGAGATAAATAAGAAATAGACATATGCCTAAAACGTCCAAATAGAATTCAATAGCCATCAATGCATTGTCAACCTTACATTCCAATTTTGAACATCCGATCGATTACCACATATACGCATTCCTTCAATTGTATTGATATCGCGGAGATATAACTGGGCAGACGCGAAGGTCATTGAAATAATCCATGATGCTTAACAACAAAATTAATTACGAAGGCTTCGACGAACGAGAAAACTACTTCGGCTTACCGATGATTAACGAGTATCGAAATGCTATGAGAAACGAATTCGTTTAGAAAGAAGGAGAAACAATCGAAAATCTACCTGAAGATGCAATCCGAACATCCATTGGACGAATAATGGCGTAGAGACGATCAATTGATACACAGACAAGTACATAACTAAAACCCGCAGTTTGTAAACAACGCAAATTTCACAAGTATTCGGTTTACCTTGAATTATATGAAATTGTTCCCTGAAAGAAAAACAAAAGAAAAATCAGAGATTTTCATTCGACTTTGTCGCTTCAACAATATGCTAATCAGTATTTTTTCTGCAAATCTCATCTGTAGAATTTGAATAGTTTAGTATAAAAGATTTCTTTTTCCGACAAAAATACGATTGAGATTACTGAGATCAATCGTTTATTAAAACAAATCTTCCTTATTGAATCAATTATTCTCTTTCTTGCGAGAAGAAAAACACGAACTTGTATGAAACTGATCAGTCGACATCCGAGAGAGCCGAGTCCAAATGGTATACAACTTTTTTCAATAATATCACGTGTGACAATAATGATGCCAACGAATAAATCTAAACAAAGAAGAAGTTCTACAACAAACAACTTTTCCCTCGATTTGATTTTGAGGAAAAAAAAAGTTTATTAACAATTCATTCATCTGAATAATTGTTAAAATCGAATTAGCGTTGATGCACTCGAAGTAATATTTTGTGAGAAAAGAAAAACATTTTCTTGATTATAACCATTTGCTCTAATTCTATATTCGAGAGGGTTTACACGTAACATCGCATCATACTATACATTCATGATTGAATAAATCAAGTGCTACTAGTCGATAAATATCGTTCGGATGTGCGAGCATACGAACGAACGATTTCCGGCAATAATAATAATAATAATAACAACAACAACAACAACAACAACTGCGAGAAGAAACTTACCAGCATATGCCAGATTTAACAGAAAGAAACTCATGCGACTTTGGCTCTTTTTTGAACAGCTCAATTGAAGAATAACAGATATGTTAGCCGTAATAATGAGTACAAATATAATACACAGAAATACGATGAGCTAAAATAAAAGCGATCGATTAATTTCGCATTTCGACGACGGAGAAAAACTTTACATCTCAGGGGATAAATAAATACAAACAGATGTTCCTAATTAAATATACGTACATGAAAATTTTTACAAAGATTATCTAATGACGATTGATTGATTAATGTTGAATCATTAGTTAGTACCAATGCTGTTGTTGTCGATTCATTTTTCAACATCATCAATGTTGTCGTTTCATTGAAAATTGTATAACTAGTCATTGTTATAATATTACTAATAAATACATACTTGTCGAAAGAATTCTTTGTATGATACTCTGTCAATTGACAAACTGACAATAGCTAGAAATTATCTAAAGAAATAATAGAACAGAGAATGAAGAGAAGGAGGAAGAAACTTGAGAGAGTGATGAATGTATGCTTATTTTCAAATTAGGCTCACTATTCTTCTCTTCATGTCTGACTGATCATTCGATGTCCGCTAGCGACTATGGGAAATAATCGAAGGTGACATAAGTAGATATTTAGTCTAGCAAGTCGGACGAGGAAATGCGAGACAGTTATGTGTACATTCTCAACACGATAACACAAGTAAGATGATGGCAGTAGGGTGTTGCCTTATGCTGATTGTCTCTAATCGTTCGGCTGACTGCTTGATGTCTTTCCATGAGAATAATACTCTTGTTGCTTTTCTTGTCGATAGATTGGTAAACTTGTTTTTTTTTGTCTCATCTATACTAAATGTCAGTATACAAAAACAGAATGATATGACACACCGGAAGAAATAGAACTGACAGCAACTACCCGGTAGTGCTTGCTGCGCAAGTTGACGTCCAACGAAAAAATAATCATCTCACAAGATATTTTTCTGTTATGGTTAGATTAATCGAAATGGTATTAGTAGTCAAAGCTTTCCCTCTTCTTTCTATTCTCAACTTTCCCTTTCTTTTCTCTCTCTCTCTCTCTCTGTCTCTCTGTATGTGTTCTTCCGATGCTTCAGATCTGCGCCTTTCAATTGCGATCATAAGCTCACATCAAGAACGAATCTAGACTTCGAGCAACACTGTTGACTTCCTAATCGTCATATTGAATAGCGAGACGATTTATGTTGGATTGTTAGTAATGGCACAACATTTTGGCATGGCTTTCTGCTTGTCCCATGTCTATCTGTCGAAATGCAATAAAGACAAACAACAGAAGTTTATATACATAAATATCTGTATCTGCCTATATGAAAAGGAGGAAAAAGTCTCGATGTTGATTATTTTTTCATTTGCTATTTATGTCAAAAAAAACCGTATTACGGAACGATTCAACTGTAAAGAACTAAGCTCGTATTTACCGAAGAGTCATTGTCTTCCATAATCAAGAAAAACAAACAAACAAGAAAGAACTCTTATTGAAAAAAAAATTAAAGCTGGATATGTCATTCGACTTAGTTGATAAGAACCAGATGTGACTTGCTGTAATGAAATCTTAAGAAACAAGATTGTCATGTGATTTTTTATTATGTGCGACAAAGGAATGCAATTCCCAATCGAAACTGAAGTCTATTTCGAATTGTAAATGTTGACGAAGTGGAAGACTAATTATTATCATAAAATAGAGATTAATCATTGACAACAATCAACTTCATCGTAGGAAAAGTATTTGATTTGTTATTTATGAGCACAAACATTGGACGAGATTTCGAAAGAAAGCACGACGGATATGAGATTCTATTTTTACATCATGTTTTGCATAGAATACTTCACTCAATGAATCATTCGTCACCGTTTATGAACATATTCAGGGTAGGAATATTACTTTCACGTACAGTCAGTTCGTCACCGAGTTTTATTTCCTACCCTCCCTTATGTGGAAGAAAAGCATGACATTTTCATTTTTCATACACACATCGATTCGCCCAATATAAAAAGGTAAATACCAGTTCACATTTCACTGTCGATATTAATTATTGCGATAACAAGAATGAGTAATATCGAAAGCGTAACTATGCTTGTTTGTTGGGAAAAACAGCGGCGAAGCATGGATGTGGATGTCAATGATAATTTGAATGGTATTAAAGAAAAGATTATCCAAACGTATGGTATAAAGGGAAAAAAGGATTTTCTGGAGTACCAAATCCAATATTTCGACGAAAACTTTCAATCATTTGTCGATTTATACGATGGTACAATAGATCGTTTTCGGACGCTTCTCCGTAATCTTCGAAAACTGGATGATTCCACGAAGAAGGAGCAAATTTGGTGTTTGAATATAGTTTCTGATGAAACCAAAATAATCAGTATGTTCTTCATCAGATCTCGACATTCAACATTGTCTTTTCCTCATAGGTCGCAAGTCCAGTGACCCATTAACTGTTGACACAAATAATCATCCACCAAAGAATAACATCGACAAATATACACAACAAGCAACATTTGAAACAGATAATTCAATTGACGATAGTACACCATCAGATTCAAGTAAGTCATCTCTCTGTCAATTAGAACTCAGTAAATTGATTAGTTTCGTGTTTTCATAGTGGAAGATACAGACGATACACGTTTGACGAGTAGTCCTTTGCATAGAGAACACGACCATCAACAGCAAACATGGAGTGAGTGTGATTCCTTTATCATTTGTCGAAATGAGACACTCACCTGTTATTTAGATGAACTTTCGTCTTCAACGCATCCATTACAACTTCGTTTTGGGATTGACATTGCCGACCGTCAACGAAGACAATACGAAAGCGATATATGCAAAAGAAACTCTAACAATAAGTATGGTAATCTTAGCTATATTGAATATTTTCTTGAATTTATTCCATAGATCATCCCTAGGCGGAGTTTTCCTACAAGGACGCAACTTAGATAACAGTTCATCACATCCAACCGTCCATGTAAGGAAAAATAGAATTGTATTTTCTATTCTTTCTCGTTTCAGTTTCAAATTCCGCAAGACAAACACAAACTTCGCTGGTATTTGCACTTTTATGTGCTAACTGAGCGTGATCAACATGGTCAGCAATATATTCATGCGTCAAAAGGTATTTACGACAATGAAACCGAATCTCAAGATCGATTCGGACCGATTCTGAACTCCAATGCTGTAAATCCATATGTTGTCGAATTAAATGAAAACCAGATTCAGCAGGAACAATATGAGTAAGACAAGTGAATCATCTTTCGAAAACTATTTCTTGCAATGTCACTTAGAATCCGTTTACGTGTGTGCAACATTCATAATCTATCAGATCACAAGCGCAGTAAATTACGAAAATTTCCGGAATTGCACACTCGAAACATATATATGGATTCGCGTTTATTGTCGTCATGTACTTCGAATAGTTTGAAACTTTCCTGTGCTAATTTTCATCTCGGTTGTCTTCTCATTAGTGGTAATCGAATCGAAGATCGATGTATTTCACAATTGACTACTGAAAGTAAATGAAAATTCGGTATTTCCATTCATAAACTTTCGTTTTCTTTCTAGATAAACAACGAAAAAGAAAAAAAATGAGCGAATAACAAAAAAATCCATGTCTGTTTTTCAATTAAATAAAAGTTTTTTAATTAGCCAGGAGTTGACCTATGTTGATTTGATTTTGGCAAATACATCTCGAGAGTTTGGATGCGGTGGACAAGGTATAATAAGTTCCGGTGGTCGAATATCACGGAACATGTATGTCTGAAATTTGTTTTGCATATTAGTTTCATAAACCAATAGTGTTTCTTGTAATTGAATTAAATTTCTCTTAATCGTCTCGGCGTTTTCATCAAGGATATGTTCAATCATTCGCGATAGACAACATAACTATGTAAAGAACTGTCAGTGAACGAGTTGCATGAAATTTATTCTCACTTGCTTTTTGATATTTTGTAATATCGGTATCAAACGAAAGGTTATGTTTGAAGAGCCTTTCGTCGATATGATATCATTGTATAACTGAAAAGAATCGAGTATTACACGAATATGACGAAACATTGAGCGTATATTCTCGTTTGATATGTTGTGTTCTAATTGATTCAAATCATTTTGAAAATTATCATTGAAAATATATGATATTTTTTCGAAAGTCGTTGTCTTATATTGGTTATCTATGCCTTTAGAAATTTCATATCGGCGTTGCTGTGCGAGAGCTCGTATTTGCCATTGTAAATGTTTTTGTGCATCCTCAGCTCTTTGTGAAAACTGATTGAATGTGGCGGAGAGAGGAAATATACTTTCACCGAGTTTTAACGTCATTATGTCCTTATGTGATTCATTGATTGTTTTTAATAGTTTGAAATAATCGATAATGAATGTCTGAATATCAATGAAATTATTCATTCGAATGAAAAACAAATAACTATAGTTACAATAGTTATACCGAACAGCTTGACCTAGTCACATCTGTATCATTAATACCAAATGTTACTTAGCAATTTCGCGTATATATACATATATTACTCGCAAAATTTTCATTAAAATTTCTCATAACCATGGACTTTCGTTCAATTCTCTTCGCAATCGCTCTACTCATTTTCGCAGCGAAAACATATGCTTTAAACTCAACAGCAGCGGCAGTAACAAACTCCACGAAAATAACTGCGACAGGCACAAAAACAACAATAAAATCTTCGCTTTCTAATTGTACGAAACAGTCTCAATGCGCAAAAACACATTTTTGCAATACAAAACTTCGAGTCTGTTCATTGAAGTTATCATTGAACAGTACATGCAGTCAAGATAAAGAATGCTCAAGCAACAAATGTCATGATAAACTATGCCGACAATCGTGTAGTCAAGACAAGGAGTGCTCAATCGACCGAGAATATTGTACAATATCACGTTATTGTGCCAAGAAACATTGTGGAGCATGTATGCGCAATGCTCAATGTGCAAACAATAAGTGCCACTTTTTTCGTTGCTCGACAGATAGTTGTATAGCGAAGTTGAGCGCGCTTAAGAAATCACGTTGATGCAGGAGAAGAGTCAGCACATGATTTTATGAATAATAAATAAATGATTTACAAACTGCGTTTTCTTTTTAAGAAATTGGAATATTAACAAATGACTATACATAATAATTCTAAAACTGCGAACTGAAATTTCATTCTTTTGATTTCGCCATGCACACGCTTCAATAGGCTCTGACGATGAACAAACTGGGTTTTTTTCTTGTCTCTGTACAGATAAATATCTCGAGAAACGGCATGTGATAAATAACAAAACAAATAAAAAAAGAAATGAGCGGCGAAAAGAAAACGGTTATCATTGCACTGGAGCTTGACCTTGCTGCTGCTGCTGTTGTTGTTGTAATAAGGCAGCTCGTTGTCGACGCATTGTATACAAAGCACCTATGAGACCAAGCAAAAGTACCATTAAATACAAATCCCACGACGAATCAAGTTCGCTTGGTGTTGTCGAACTTGAATGATGATCTTCATCAGCAGTGACGATGGGCGGTGGTTGTGATGATGTAGACGATGATGTACCGCTTTGAGTGTTTGTTGCGGTTGATTCCGATGAAAACGAAAAGAATTTTGCATATATTTTTTCCCGTAGTAATTGAAAATGAAGTTTAAACAAAACAATATTAACAGGCAAATGAGCTTCGACACTGGTCTCTGCAGCCATATCATAAAAACGTTTTGCTAAATGTATATCCTAAAATAGATTGTGCAAGATCTTCAGAGTCAAGTGTTATTTTGATTGAACTGACCTTTTTCAAACCTAAACCTTTCTCGTGCATATACGCTAGATTGAACATTGCTTGAGGATTTTGACTTTGATCACTTGCGTATTTATAGTGTGTAGCGGCCGTTTCGTAACTCTGTTCAGTACCAAAACCACTAGAATACAAACGAAACACGAGTATTATTTAACCTTGAAATTCGATCTTACTAATAAAAATAATCTCCTAGTTTCACACGCGCTGAGTGGAAACCTTGATTTGCAGCACGATTCCAATAAATTAAAGCTCGTCGATATCGTTCGTCTGTCTTATGATAAATATTCATTAATTGATTGGGCATTTGATCTAGTAGATACGCAACATTCGATTGAGCCACTTCATAGCCAAGCTCGGCCAGATACAAATATTTCATGAATGCTTGTTCAACATGACCTTGTCGATAAAGATTGTATGCTTCAATAAACATGCTTGACCACTTGCCGCGTTCAGCAACGTTTTTAAACAGTTCCACAGCTGTTGTACATGATCGTAGAACACCCGTACCTGTCGCATGCATTTGTCCAAGATTGTAATAACCTAGGGCATGTCCTGATTGTGATGCTGCTTGAAACCATTTCAATGCCATTTTGTAATCACGTTTAACACCTTCACCTTTGTAATACATGACGCCAATCATTAGTTGTCCTTCGACATAACCTTGGTCAGCGGATAATTGAAAATATTTGAACGCTTTCTCATAACTTTGTTCTACACCAGCGCCGTAGTAAAATGCTGTACCGATGCCAGCTTGACCCATGGGATTGCCTTTTTCTGCTGAACGTTGAAAGAATTGAAGAGCCGTTTGATTATTTTGCTTAATAAAGTCGTTTTTCTCTGAATATAACTTTCCTAAATAGGCCATCGCATTCGAATTACCATTTTCTGCAGCCAAACGAAAGTAATAGAGTGCTTTATCATACGCAGTGTCACGGAGATAGTATAATTGACCGAGGCCATACTGAAAAAAACACGTCAGATAGCTCGAAAGTTTCGCAAAAACAAAATTTCGATTTTACTTGTGCTTGTGCATCGCCTCGATCAGCTAATAATTGGTAATATTGGACAAGATCTTCATCGACCATGATATTATTCTGTGTTGGATGTTCTTCTTCATCATACAAACGAATACGTTGAATCAGTTGTCCACTAGCCGATGTAATCTTCGAAGAAACTAAAAAGAACGAATTTCATTAGAAAATTCATTGGATACACAAAGAGAGATGTCGCATACCGTAAGTAGCAACTTGTTTGTAAAACATCAGGGCTGATTCACAATTATGGGCGACGGAAACAGTACGCCAATATCGATAACCCTAAAACGATTCTTTTTTTATTGAGAAATTTTCTTTTAATGAAATACTTACGAGAGCCATTTGCGCCGGATGATGTCCATCCATAGCAGCGAATGTTAAATGAACGAGTGCCTGAAGAACAATCGCTAGCTAGATGAGGGATATGTCGAATTAGCTTACCTTTGGAATGTTTGCATCTGGGATAAGTCCAGCACTGTTTAGAAAGTAAAGACCCTAAAAATACGAAAGTATTTTTCAAAAGTCTGTATGTTTGAATAGAGCAATCATACAAAATGAGACTGAGCTGAACCCATTTGTGCGCCTTCTTCATAATATTTCCTTGCTTGATTGAAATTCATTGGTAAATGTATTCCAATTAGATGAGCGAACGCCAATTCTTCCTTTGCTCCGATATGACCCAAATCAGCTGCTTGTTTCAACAACTTATATGCTCTAGACATTCTCTATCGGTATATTTTTGCTGAAAGGATGAAATTCTTACGTGTCATATTGTCGATTGCCTGTTCCATTGATCAACTTCATTGCCTGATTATAAATTGTATTCGCATGCTCCATTTCAGGAGTCAATGGAACGGCCGGTTCTTCTTGTTCATCTTCTACTTGTTCTTCTTCAGCTATTTCATTTTCAACTTCTTCATTACCTTCATCTGTATTTGTATTTGCACCAGGTGGATTCACGAATGTTTTAGTAAATAGTTGTGGTTGAGTTTTCTTCAACATTTGATATAATTGTTGAATTGTTTCAGATAATTTTGTTGACGATTGGTCAAGTGGACGTTTTTGATGATATTTATTATGTATACTAACCCCAATTTGTTTTAAAATACGTTGAAGATTTACATCGTCATCGTCCTCCTCTTCTTCCTCTTGATCATTCTCTTGATTCACAGCAGCGTTTTTCTGTTGTTCTTGAAGACGATATTCAATAATTAAATCTTGTAACGATTTATTCAATTCATCAACATCATCATCGGAATTTTTCGCCGGTTTGCTCTCAGTCGGCGTCTCCTGATCTCTCTGCTGAGTATTATCATCAACATGTAAATGAATCTGTGCTTCGGGTGCAGCAGGTTCTGCCTGAAAAAACGAAACGTCAAAGATCAACAGAGGCACCTACAATGGAATTCAATCGTACTTGTATTGTTTCTATGTTGTCCTTGTCGTCAGATCGTTTTGGTTTGTCGGTTGTGGATGCTACGAAATTTATTTTCGGATTCGAAAAAAACTTTTGACAATGAAAACGGACTTACTTAGCGTGATATGTCCAATGAAACTGTATAAAATGACAATAGTGAAGATAAAACATTTACTACTGGAATAGAAATTCATCTAGAATGAACAATTTCAATAAGACCTTTGAATTTTATGGCTTTCGTCAGCAGCAGAAAGCTCGCATTGATTTAATCTGTCTGTACTTTGCTGAGTGAGCAAATATCAGCCAACCATCAGCAGCCAAGCCTTCGACTAATAAGAATCGATCTTTCAAACAACAGAGGACGCTTTAGTTCGTTTCCAAAATGTAGAAAAATAAAATATATGTATATTTAAGAGAAGGAAAAACTCCGAACGTTAACTTGATAAAAAATGTCTATGAGCACATCTCGAACGGCAGAAGCAGAAAACAGAAAAGAAAAACACATTTATTCAAAATAATAATTGATAAGTATAAACTCGATAATCTTTCGAAGCTAAATGAAGAATGTTCGTATTCGTTTGGATTGCCACATCGAGAATTTGTGAATGACAGATGCGAGCCGTATAGGCACCTAAGCGTTTCTTCTGTTGATTTTCATCGTAAACGGTGATATTCAAACCTTGATGGTTATCAATAATGATCAGTTGTCCTTTGGAATTCAACTTGATATTTGTTGGAAACTGTATGTAAATGTCATCTTTTATTTCACGAAGTAATTGGCCAGTATAGGAGAACACTTTGATCGAATGAAGATGATTGTCAGAGATAAAGATTTCGGAATTATTTGAACAGATCGATGTCGGGAATTGGAGCTGTTGACTGAATGAAAATACGCAAAGAATCTGTCCATAGAGCGAGAAGATATGTAATTTCTGAATTTGAGATTCGATGACTAATATTCGTTGAGATTTATCTACAGTCAATGCTCGTGGCTTTTCCAGATGTTGACCAAATCGACGAATAAATTCTCCTTGGCAACTGAAGACATGAATTTGTGGTCGCGGATGACGTTGAATAACAACCAATTGGTCATTACCATTCGGTACAACCGCTAAACGGTATGGATAGAGTAAATTTTGACAACCCAGTGTTCGTCCACGTCCAAATGAATAGAGATATTGGCCAGATTCACTATCGAAGATCTTTATACAATGGGCATTGGTGTCGACAACAGCAATTTTGCCCGATTCAAGCCATGCAACACTATTAGGTTCACGAAATGCATTGTTACCATCACCATATTCACCTATCGATCGAGTCCATTTCAGTATTTGTCGAGACGCACCATTTTTGAATCGAGTTTCAGGTCGATCTAGAAGAATTGGTCATCAGACATTGGTTCGTATCACGGCAAATTCGTTTACTCACTAACTGTACGATGATCGGGTGTACAAAGGAGTGGAATTGGTTCGGATTTGATTGGTGACCAAGCTTAAATAGATAATTAACGATCAACAACAAAGTTCCCCTTCGCGTACATTTTACACTTACGATCTACTGATGTGAGGAAAAAATTGTCTGGCGGTGAATATGGAACTAGAACGAAGTATAGTCCGTTATATGATGTATTTAGTAATCTAGGTCAGCTCGTATTCGTATAATCAATACTAACTTGAATTGAAGATATTGTGATCAACAGCTGCTGCACCAAGCGCTAAACGTGGCTGTTTTATGACTAAACCATTTTCATTACTAAACGAAATTGATTAAATTAGAAATCGAACAGTAATCAGTGTGTCGTCCACTTACGCTTCTATACCTAACATTGTCGACCATACGTTTTCCTTATCAGATCCGAACGCTCGTTTCCGAGAGATTCCTGACGAGTTGATCATCATTGTTTTATTTTTTGATCCGAGAAAATCCAGGTAAGAGATAAGACGTCAGATTTGGTCAATACGGATCAAAACAATCCCTTGCTGTACAGTTGACGAATCAAATAAATGACGGAGGAGAAGATATATGAACCGGCTGTATATATATGTCTGCGTACACAGAGAACAGAATGAGTGAAGGCAGTGTTTAGTAAGTACAAACCGTCTTTGTGTCATGTCAGCTGTGTAGCACACAAAGAAATCGAGAAAGTGCATAAATTAGTAGAACAATGTCAGTGTTTTGTTCGATATGATAACAATACTCGTGCACATATGCCTATTGGTAAGGAATTCATCGACACCAATCGTCCGCTAACAATTCGTCAATGTTGTATAGATTTTCTATAGTGGAGAAGAAAGACTTTCCTTTTGTGCAGCTATGGACGGTATTCGCGGACGTTTATATTGAAATTGTCATTTTGTTAGGATTTCATAGTCGTTTGGACCGTTTCACACTAGACGGATTTTCTGCATATCGATGAAGAACAAATCGAAGTTATTTATCCTTCGTGTGAAAAGAATTTCAGTGAAAGCGGGCGAAGAGAACATTTGTTATGACTAAATCGAATACAGTTGAGAATAGAGTGGTGATATTTCGGTTATATTTATGTTTTTTAATATCCAAAAGAAAAAAGACCACAGTCATTTACACAAGTAGAGCGAGCAAGATTGAAAAAAAAGAGGGATGAAAAAAAAACCGTGTGAGTGTTAATAATAATCTACTGTTATTCCTTTTCTTTTGTTTAAACTTCAATAGGCATGTCGCCGAGCTCCTCGTCATTTGGTAAAAATGGTGCTACTTTGGCGGGATCGACGTACCATGGACTAACACCCGGCTGACCGAGACTTTCGCGCGCAGCTAAGCGAAGATAAGCTTCACGCTGGCACCAGTGAGTTAATCTAAAACGATACATTATTCATGATGAGAAGACTTCAATCGTGACTTACAATCGATCGGGAAAATATCTATAGGTAAACCAAAAGAGAAAGATTCCAACAGAAACAAGAGAAAACATTCGTTGCTTCATTTTGGCTTCATCTCGAAATTTATCATTGAAATCATAGCCATACCAGATATGCTAAAGAGGAGAAACAATTTCACATGTAATAGTGTAATTCGAACTAGCAAAAGCTGATCAGTTTCATACATTAACTTGTTTTCTTTCCCATTGTGGTTTGACGTATTCGCCTTCTTGCATGTCACGTTCTGTGGGCCATAAAATTTCAATTTCTTTTCCTTTAACTTCATCCGGCGCACCAACACGCTTTTCGTCACGTTTCAATGGTGTCGATACTGGCGTTTTGTCCATTGGTTTTGCCACACCCCAATCTATTCATATAAGCAATCGATTATATATTCATGAGAAAGCAACAACAAACCATCGGCAACACCCTGTGGTGTTTCAGAACGTGAACGACCAGCAATGATGGTACGAACAGCTGGTTGTGTTAAGAGTGGTCGCCACCGCGACAATAACTGATAACCCGCTTTGCCGGGTAAAATCATCTAAAACTGAAAGATCGTGGTAATAAATAATTACTATAAACTAATTTGAAAAGAGAAAGTGTTTAAATGAATGAAATAGTTCTTGGTTTCAACAGCTAAGCACCAGCAGCAGGTGAACTAGTTTGTTCTTGAATAATATACTCCTTAGGTGCACGTTGTTGCCACTCAGTGAACGAACCCTAAAAGAAAAACATCAAGTCAAATTTGTTTCAAAACTATACTGCTGCAATTGACTAAACACTTAACGTCAAACAGCCCTTAGGTTTTGACGAAAAATTCTTTTCAGCCATGTTTACTTTCGCACGAAAATGTCTTCGCCTCTCAAACATCACAGACATCGATGCTGAGAGATACAAACGTGCGCGTTAGATTGTTTACTGGCAAAATGAAAGTATATCTTACGTTATAAACTGAGTACGACTTCTGACCGAGAATATGAGCAATAAAAGCTAATGTACTCGCTGTTGTACCCGTTTGACAGGTATAAATAGCTGGTTTCGATAAATTAACACCAGCTTTTTCGAAAACTAAGAAAAGAATCGAGTAATGCGCGACTGATAGTGTACTGTGATTTTACGTTGTTGAAGCTCTTCCTTCGATTTTAAACATTGATTATCTTGATCAAATACATCATTGTACGGAACGTTGAGTGAATCTGGCAGATGTCCACCTTTTTCACCTGAAACGGTAGAATATAGAAATAGTTGATGAGAAAAGACAACTCACCGCTAAAAAGATTTCGTGGTCGAGCATCGACAATCTGTTGTTTTTTGTCTTTCGAAGAAACAATGTTTAACATCGTTTGAAAATCCTTTACCATTCTTTCATTAAGATGAACGCTAAATTTTCCTGTCTAAAGAATACAAAAGACAGTTATTTTGCATTGAAAACTTCTTGTATTACCTCTTTAGGTTGATTATCATTGGATGGTTCTAAATCGTTGACTTCCTTCGCCCATTTATGAAATCCACCATTTAGAATAGATAAACTATCCACACCGTATGTCTAATCGAAGTAAGATCCATCATAACTAGTGCAACGTCAATAAAAACCCATTTACTTTCAATAACCACCAAGCTCGACTAGTTGCATAGAAACCCATGGGTGAACGATCATAGAGAACAATATGGTCTTTGTTTGATACACCCAAATGTGAGAGATACGATTCGAAACATTTGATATCAGGAAGACCGCGTGGAATCAATTTTGTTGGTTGTGTACATTCGAGTTGATCAAAGAATCGAGCCTTAGGAATATGCGCACTAAACAAAAATATGACCTGCTCAGCATGATTCGTTGAGTCTTACTGTAAGAATTCGTTGTGAAATTGTTTGCCAATGTCAGCTTCGAGCACGGAAACTTTCTGCGAAGATGATCGTAAGAGATCTTTCAATGCTTGACACGAAAGCACTGGTGGAATTGCTTTAATTGCTTTCATCTAGAAAGTAAATCGTTGAATACTATTGAAAGTTATGCAAAAACCACTCAGAGAGAAGATTAATCAAATAATCATGGAAATGAGTCGACATGTGAGATAACACAAGCTAACCGTGCTATTCCTCGACATGTTTCCTCGATCAAATATGAGAAGAAAATTTCATCATCGTGGTTTTTCTTGTGAAGAAGAGAAAAGAGCACAAACAGCGACAAGGATTTGTTACAGGACATTGATATATTTGAATATTATCTTTTGTTTTCAACAACGAGAACAGACGGACATTGTAAGAAAGAGAGAAGGACAGAGAAGAAAAAAGACAGAAAAAGTAGCAAGACCAGTCAGATACACAGCACAAGTACAAAGCAATTCTAAAAGCATCCGCGTACACATCAACACACAGATGTTCTTCGAAACGAATAAGTCAGGCGAGTTTTATGAACGGAACGAGAGAGAAAGAAAGAAGAACAGACAAAAAAGTAAGTCACCGGATATATCTGCGTGTATAACAAGAATAGATTTTTTTCGGTTACCTTGTTTCTCCGAACTTGTTTAGAAAAAACGAAGAAGAGAAAAGATTGGTTAACAAAGAACAGTTATTTAGTATGAAATTATTGAAGTTTTTTCTAGCGCTGGTACAATGAAGGAAAGGGATTACAATCGTTGAGAAACTGTCGAATAATGAGTATTACTGTTAGTGAATGTTGTTGGACTCGTTGTTCGATCATCAGTCTAGAAATTCAGCTGAGCGAAATGAAATTAGCCAAAAGAGTTCTACTTACGATATTATTACTTAGAAGTTTTTGCGGTTTTTCCCAAATAGCGATAATTCCATCTTGTGAAGATGTCACTAGGTAGTTTTCACCGAAATAAATTCCATTTAAACGTTCGTGAGCAATGAATTCAGTTATAACTGGTTCAATTACTTGTATATCATCTAGTTTCGGACATAGATTAGTTCCAAATGTACTTTTAGTTAAATCGAAATTCGTTCGACGCGATGACGAATGATTGTGATTGCTTGTTAGTGTTGACAATGAACCATGATTCGAATCATCAGTATTCGCTTGTAGTTTTGACGACGATGATTTCGATCCGGTCAATGTGCTGGATAGTAGAGATGACTTTCGAGATTTCTTCGACGTTCCATTGGCTATTGTCAAAAGGGACATGTCAGGAGTATCATCAATAGATTTGTTAACTTTATTGGAATTCCGTACAAATGAAAGACGTGATGTTAAGGATGAAAACGATGTTTTGCTTGGCGCAGGTTGAGTGTTCACTGTTGCGTCGGATGATAATGATGCATGGCCATTGGAGGATGACGGTGAGGGTATTGATGGATATGATGAAGAATTTTTTTTACTATTAGGAATGAATTTCAAGATATCTTCAGTAATATCCCATAGGCACAGACGATTATCTTGTCCAACTGACGCGATTCGATAGAATATGGATGGAATCGTTACATCGAGACATGTTGAATCACTCCGTGACCATGATGTTGATTTTTGAAAACTATCTTGCTCATGATCATCGTTGTAATCAAATGAGGTTTGTACAAATGACGAATAATAAGTTTTTGCATTCATATACGGATCAAACGATATAGCACTTATCCATGATGTATGACCATGACCACGGCATATAACACGAGATACATGTTCGTCAGGGATCAGAGTAAATAATGTTATGAAATCATCTTCACCACCAGTAGCAATGTATTTACCATCAGGCGACCAACAGACCTGTTTACAATCAACAAAACAATGGATAAGTCGTTTCGAGAAGCAAAGAACGGAGAAACTTACGCAAAGAAGACCACCGAAGTAACTTTTCATATAAGCTACTAATTCCATTTTTTCATAGTTAAATATTCGAAGAAATCCGTCTTGTGAAACAATAGCAAGAAGAGTATTATCAGGTGAAAAGGCGAATTCGTTGATACTTCCACTACCTATCGACCATCGTGCAACTGGATTTCGTGCTTGTTTAGATTTATTCTAAAACAAATCTTTCATTTTCCTTACAAACTGTAAAATTCGTCTTACTTTGATGTACGATATAGAGAAATTCTTTTCATCGTCTTTTATTGTTGTATAAGTCGGTTGAATATTTGTATCACGTTGATAGTTCAATTGTTCATCAAACACATACAGATATCCGCTGGAATAGGATGCAATAAAATAAGTTTTCGGATTTGTTAACCATTTGATACATGTCACTTTGGTTTTATCCAGATAACTCTAATCATAAGTAGAAAAGAATTCGATGCACAACTTCGTCTTTAGTTTGACATACGCCTTCATTGAATACTTTCTGTTCTTTACTTTGCATATTTATATATTGTATTTGTCCTTTAGAAAATCCGACAAGGACATGGAGACTTTTGTTATCAGGATGCTGAGTAATATCATGGCACGTCGGATGATGGTTTTGTTTGTAAACACGATGATCGATAGGTTCGCCAAAATTAAACTAGAAATTATTCGAAAATCTTCATCAAATTCTTTGAATCTCGAAACTTTACCTGTGTAGCTTCAGCAAATTCATAAACGATCAATTCTCTTCCAATATTAAATGCTAAAATATCTGTTAGAATCACATTTCCATTGGAATCGTATCCATTCGTTGCAGATATTTGTTTCTGTTCATTAGAATGATCAATAGAATTGCCCGTAGTGTTATTATTCGTCGATGATGACCGTCTCGAACTGGTTTGACTGTTTGTCGTATCGAAGTTTGTTTGTATACGCGGTAGTAATGTGATTTTAACTGGTTCACTTAGACATGTGTTGGCGCCGATCTTGCCAAGATTATCGATGAATGAAGAGATTTTATAAGTACCCTCACGTGAAGTAAATTCAGTTTTGATTTCATCACTACGCTGATTATTATCTTTTGGAAAATTACTTGCACGTGAAGTTATCGATGGAGCGACACAATGATTAATGTTTGATGGTTCGGGTCGAGCCATGAAGATCGTCGTGAAATCGACGAATGTTTATAAACGATCGGTTGAAAAAAAATGTCAACTTCATTCGAAAGACTTATGAAGATTTAAATCAAACATTGGGATGTTTATGACGGGATTTTTTGCAAGTAAGAATACATTTTCACTACATCGCCATATTGTTTGCTTTTTTCTGTTCTGTTCAATAGAATTGGTCAAGAGAATACGCGAATAACTTCAAAACTATGGAATTCATCCAAATGGTTGTGCTTAATGTTTATTTCGACCTGTTTTCTTTTTTTTCGTAGTAAAGTATTTTAGTATAAAATTCTGCGATAGATGTCAGCAGTGACACATCAACCGAATTCTATTGGTCAGCAGAGAAGATACTTAGAGATAACAACAAAGCAAATCAATATCACCGTTCGTGTAGAAGATTGTAATTACAATAGACTTTAAGACTGATTGATGGAAATCTGAGTGGAAGTGTTCCTTATGTGTCAGTTTAATCCGATTATAAATATGTACATAAAGTTATTTGACCGAATGTTGTAGATTACGAAATAACCGCTTAACATGGCGATGCAAAAACGAGCAAACCTTCGCCTTCCACCGGAAATCAACCGTACTCTATACATTCGTAATTTGCCTTACAAGATAACTGCTGAAGAAATGTATGATATATTCGGTAAATACGGTGCTATTCGTCAAATTCGTCTTGGGAATACACCGGACACAAGAGGTAAGTAAAACGAATGGAATTGACTTTTTCTCTCATCTCTGATGATTTAGGCACAGCGTTCGTTGTTTATGAAGATATCTTCGATGCAAAAAACGCATGCGATCATCTATCGGGCTTTAATGTCTGCAATCGTTATCTTGTGGTTTTGTACTATCAAGCTAACAAAGCGTTTGATAAAATCAATTTGGACAAAGAAAAAGAAAAACTAGCGAAGACACAAGCCAAATTTGGCTTGAACACATAATTGATATGTTCTTTGCGTGAAGTTTTCTGCTTGTTATTGTTGTTGTTGTTGTATATGAAATATTTCAAAAAACGATCTGATGAAAGAAAAACTTTTTTCTACTTCACGCCTGTATTTTACAAAGATGCAAATATTGATCTGTGTCTTTTATTTAAGATGTCGAGATGAAAACCGAACGCGATATGTATGCCGTCGGTGGTTTGAGTGAGAGATGTAGAAGAGAATATTTTTATTCTTTCATATGGCGAAGCCTTTTTCTTGACAAACTAAAAAGCCAAAGTTGTCACCTTCATCAATGAATGAGAGTAAAGAAAACGCAAATTTAGTTGTAAAACGAAACCATCGGGAGATCTTTCTTCTTTCGTCAAGTAAACTGACGAATCTGCTTCGTACGTTCGTTTTTCCTCTTCTTTCAACACGTATTGACTTTGTATATCAGCCAACTCTTTCATTCGCTGTTTAGCGCTCCCTCATCATTCTGTTGCCGTGACGCGACAAAGCAGTCAATCATTCGTTACTGAATGACACAATTTGAAAAATTTACTCGAGCTTTTTTCTTCTTCTCCTCTTTTTCTCTTCCTTTCTTTTGCTTTGGCAATTGACATCGGTGTTGTTTGAAAGAAAAATATCGAAAGGAAGCAGAGAAGTAAAGGTAACTTGTTATTTCTTTTTCCTATAAAGAAACGATGTAAGCACGAAAGAGAGTTGATCAGCAACAAACCGCAAAATTGTACATATTAGAAAGCAAGAAAGAGAATGAGAGAGAGAGAGAGAAAGAGAAACGGCGAGAAATAAGCGACCTTGAAAATAGGATCTTACATTACAAGGTGAAGAAAATACAAAAGAATAAAAATTCCTCTTCGAAAATAACAAATATCAATTTTCATATTTTTCATTGGTGACAATGCAAATTCCATTTACGACAATTATTCCAATGTAATCTACGGTCAGTTTGTTATTGTTGTTCTTTTTCTGTCGTGTATTATTACATATTCATCTTGTCAATAGTAAGTGCATACATTACGAAGAGGCAAAAACTTGTTTTTTTCTCTACCTTCGTTTTGCTTGCCATTTTGTTCGGTTCACTAACACTTACGTATTTACATATTTCCAATAATCTCGCTGATGAATCACCAACAAGTTGTCTACTGAGATTTTCTATATTGATTATATGATTTTTTTTTCAAGTGGAATGTCGGGTAAATTGAGTGCCGATGGGAAAGAAAAAAACAACAGTATGTCAAAGCACAATAGTTGTCAAACTCCATCAGATTGACAAGAAGATTGCGGTAGTTCGAAAGAGTTACGTCGATCATCGTTTCTTTCTTTCTTTCTTTCTTTTTCTTCGTATGAACTCTTTCAAAGTCGTTCTAACACTTGTGAAATCAATTCAAGTATCTCAAATAACCTGCGGTTTCTTTCTTCTCCTACACAGTTTAGAGTATGACTTTACATATCGTTTTTTTTCTTAATCATCATTTGTAGGATGTAGTCGTAGGTGTGGCAGATTATGTGACCTCATATAAAATCAATACAAATAAGTCGTCTGCTTGTCTAAATAGGCTTTAGCTTGATGTGTATGTGTGTTAATCTGTTGTCTTTAACGAAATGAAGCGTTGTGGTAAGTCGATTTTTCAAAACTAAATCTTACAACGTCGAGAAACCTTAGGTGTTAATGATTAAGTGTAAGAAATATCAATAAGTCCTTGAATATTGAGAAGGTGTTAAAAAAATTGCTGATGATTATCGGATAGTGAATAACAACACGATTCACTATTGATATTTGTTTTTATTTCTTCGTAACGAAAGCTTTTCTTCTCATCCGAAGCGATCATATGTTCGCATAGAACAATCCGGTACTTCTCGTGTAGTTTCTCTGACCCTAATCAACTTCTTCAAACAAAATCGATGAAAATAGGATTTCGATTCTTTTTCGTATTCACAATAACCGAGTGCCCCATAAACTGGAAAGAAGACAGAAAAATTCTACTTACACTCATTTGATTGATTTCTTTTCTAGATGAAATTTCTCGGTGGTACATGTGAAAACATCGATGGTGAAGTGCTTAAATATGAAATAATTCAACATGAAAACAATCGTTGTACGGAATGTCGATTAGAACGTCAGACAATGTCTATACAGAAATGGCTGATATACACGCTCATCTTTACTTATCTAGCTGCGCTTGTTGGTGTTCATAGAACAGTAATCTAATGATAATTCGTCGACTTTGAAAATCAAATCGATGTTTTAGGATAGTAAATTCTTGGTGCTTCTATCCATTGTGTTCCTAATTGGTGTATTATTGAAGGCTTATCTAAAAGTCAAACGTGGTAAGTCTGCACTCAGCTTTAATAGATCAGCGTTAGGCTAAAGAGCTCAGCATACCTTTCCAGCTCACTAGAAATTAACACATGTGTTCTGATGTGAAGTGATGCAGAAAATACTTCAGATGAAGGTTAACATATTCGATTTTACAGAAAGAATTTACTTCGAAAAAATGATTCTTCTCTAGAGTGTGTTATTATTGGTAATCAAATGGGTTTGCAATTGACAACAACTTATGTCATCGGCAGGCAAACAACAGTCTATATCAGTTCAGATCGAATCAAAGATGTGCTTATCAACGAAGGATTTCTTTCCGTATGTATTTTTCTTCATTTTGACAATCATATGAAATTACTTTTGTCTTCTAGCAACGTTTGATTTACTATTTGACATTAATGATTAATGATGGTGATCAATCTATGTTACCACTTTTTGCAAAACTTCTTCCACGTGTATCGCTGTTAAAAATCTTATTTCGACATATGCATTCTGTTCTACACAAATCAAAATAAAATTTTGCTGCTTGTCTCATTCATTTTTTGTTCTAGATAAAGTAGATATGGATATCCGGCACGAGGATCAACAGAGGCGGCAGCAGCTGTTGACCATCGTGGACCGAGGCACTGCCGAACAGTTATTTGTAGGTTGAGCTTACTGTGTTTTCTCAATGGAAACGAACCAAAGTCTTTTTAGAGTTTCCTGCAGCAATTCCATCGAAGACCATTTCGAAGTATGGCAGAAGTTATTTCATATGAAGGTGTCATCGACGATCAGATTGATTTTATCGATTGTGTGGGAACGAAATATAATGTCACACCATTGATTATCGCTGCAGGCAAAGGTTCATATGAAAAAACGAAGATTCTCCTTGTACATGGAGCCAATCCAAATCAACAATGTTCAACAGGGTTAGTGAAAGAATATGTCTCCATACTTTTTAATCGATGACTTGTTTTCGTATTCAAGCGATACAGCTTTGAATTTGGCCGTTCATCGCCAGAAATATCATATTGCCGATTTATTAGCTAAGTATCATGCGAACCCTAATGTTGCTAATCTATCGGGTAAAACAGCACTGCATCGTGCTGTTGTTTCATATGTCGATGAGAATGCTAATCACATACGAGTATTGCTTCATGTGAGTGACGTATTGGTATTCATTCAGTAGCGAAAATTAATCTTTAAGGCTGGTGCTGATCCGACAATCGAAGATCGAAATCAACGAATACCTCTCGACGAAGCCGTTATTACGAATAAACCAGGTTGAACTCAATATTTTCGAGTATTTTCTTTAACGAATATCATTTCAATTAGAAATTGTCGGTGTCTTACTCTCATATGATGGAACTTTGACACAACGAGCCTATCGAGCTGCAATTATCGCTGCACGTCTTGGTACAATACGTTCTTTCTCTCCAATTGCATTTCTATCTGAACGATTTCTAGGTCATGATAAATGTTTGCAAACACTACTCGATTATGGTATGGATCCAAATATCTGCGATCGAAGTCGTACAACTCCATTGCACGTAGCGTAAGCGATAATCAAGATTTGTACTATTCTGTATCTTATCTCGTGCATTGTTTAGAATTCGTTCATTGAAACTATCAACAGCGCGTCTTCTAATATCACATGGTGCTGACCAAAATTTCGTGAATAATCGAGGTGAAACACCGGCAACTATTGCAGAGTATCTTCCGCCAGAACA